AGTCTAGCGAAGAGAATAGTTCAACTGAGAAACTGAAATACAAMCTTCTCGATCTTTATTCTAACGTAGCTTTACGAATATTGGATGTTAGTAAAACTTTTAAARTACATAAAATTTTGCTGCATTTTGAGACCATGGTGCTCTCTGAAATGTTCTAGTTTGCTTCTGTTTACTGTATGAATAGAAAAAAAGAAAGAAAGACTTGTAGACTATGCAAAGAGAATAAAAAATCTTACGTTTATAACACAATCGAGCACTATTAAACGTACATGATATTATATTCTCTCTCACACTACATAGAAAAAAATAACATTATAAAATTTTCTTTTATGACATACTATAAGAAGAGAATAAAATCGTGAGTTTACAATACAATTGAGCACTGCTAAATATACATAATAATATATTCTCTTTTAACTGCTCCCAAACTACATAGAAAAAATTCCATACAACCTTAACATTTTCTTTTACGATAAATTTTTGAAGAGGATGAAAATAGTTCATTTAAGGTTTATAATATAATGATTGAGCACTGTTGTACAAGGATTCATGAAAAATATGATGACTAGCCATTACGAGCCAAAAACCATAAGCCAAAGATCAATAAAGCATTTCGCGTATTAAAAGCGGAACAAAGCCTTCCCCCGCCCCCTTGGTCTAATAGTCTTCCATGCTCGTCAACTCATGTTGACTCTATTTCTAAACACTTAAGTTGACATGCACCTCAAAGTGCCTTTTTAATTATATTTGATTGTGCGAACTAACATTCTAAGGATGCTTTTTGAAATTATTAAAGTAATTACCACCACCAAGTCGTTGTTGCCCATCAGTTGGCGGTCTTTGCGGTTATCGGTCCTTGGGGATTTATTCTTGCGAAGACAAAGGATTAAAATCGTCTATGACATTCACGTATTCTTCTAGCGTTCATACAACGATTGGGAAATACAAGCCCGCCGTATTTGTTTGTATTTTGACTTAGAAGCTACAGTGATATTGGGTTGATAGAGCTATATGTGCGCGTGGTAACGCCTAAAGGACCAATTAACACTAATAATATAAGGATGTTTCTCAGGATGATTCATAAATGGACGGATTGCTTTCCTAATGTTACATGCGAGAAATCGATTTGAGGAATTGAGTTTCACGAGTCAAGAATGCTATTGGAGTCGACGAGGAGTTRAGTCCAAGGTACAGTAAAAAGTAATGTCTTGTCAACGCCCTACATGGTGTTGTAAATCTTATAAAAAGTACGTTTTCACTGCCGCGACGGTCGCTTTTGGTCTAACAGTACTTTCTTAGCGGCTATATAGATACAATTAGCTTTAATTTGTTTGGCTTACTGTTGATTTTGTWGTAAGCACGAAGGCATTATACTAATTTCTTAAACTTGCCGTTGATTTGTAGATCCGTCCTATACTATATTGTTTCTATTACATAATATACAGCAATATGCAGAAATTCTGACCACTTTGACTCATATTCCAACTATATATAAAATATATCAGAAATTATGGGATATCATCGCTGATATTTTTTCAGATACTACTGATCCTAGGCAACTTCAAAAAAATATCAGTGACCATATCCCATAATTTCTGATATATTTTATATATAGTTGAAATATGAGTCAGAGTGGTCAGAATTTCTGCATATTGCTGTATACTGATATATAAAACTATAACCTGCTTTTGATTAGTAGATTTGTTTATAAACACGGCTTATAGTCTACATTTAAAATAAGATTAAATGTGTAGCCTTTCAATTTACAGCAATATGCAGAAATTATGATCATTTTGACTCATATTTCAAGTATATATAAAATATATCAGAAATTATTATCATCGCTGACTGATTTTTTTATATATGATGATAGCTGAAAAATGTATTATTAAACATTGTTTTTATCATTTTTTATTATTATGTAACCTTATCGTGATAATGATTTAATGTATTCATCAATTTTATTATCTTCATCATAGTCGTTATCATTATTATATTATAACTGCTATT